CGTTTGTAGGCGTCAGAAAAACATGTAGACATTCACGAAGGGCTTAGTCTGTATATCGTCACATCATTACATACGCAGTCGTCGAACACATCGGTGTACATTCAGCGCTTTGTCCTTCTACAGCATTCTTTCCGTTGATAACAGTGTTCTGATGGGTTCGCTTCGTTCTAAAAGCGTTGATAGCAGTGTCTCGTTTGCGGACAACTCATTCTATATCAACTCACTGATACCGAGTTTCCTTTCACCATAAGTGAATGCATACCAGTGTATGTTGGTTATTACAAAAGTGGGTTCCTACAACCGACTTCATGATCGCTATCATCATCGCAGATTTCACTCATCCTCATCACCACGACTGGTTCACGTTGGCCTGCGGTGCTTCTCAGCCTGCAGTTCCTTTCGTTACACTGTAGTTGAAGCCGTTCATGGCAGTGACTCGTTTAAAGACAACTTTAGTATTGGGGGAAGTGTCGATAGCAGCGTTTCTTTTTACTTATACAAGCGTTGATAGCAGTGTCTCGTTTGTGGACAACTCATTATATATCAACTCATTCATACAGAGTTTCTTTTCGCAGCAAGTGAATGCACAGCAGTGTATCTGCATTACTGGCCCCCACTCCATTATCACTATCATCATCAACGATTTCCTACACGCGTGTGCGCGGCGGTCGCCATGAGTGAATAGTTTGCAGAGACTTCTCGCATTGATACCCATGGGTCACTTCAGAGTGAACTCATTTGTGATCTTCTTTCATTGGAAGTTGAATCGGTTGATGGCAGTGCCTCGTTTAAACTCCACTTTGGTATTGCTAGTAGTGTCAATGCCAGCGTTTCTTTTTAATTGTGCAAGCGTTGATAGCAGTGTCTCGTTTGTGGTTAGTTATAACAGCGTTGACAGCAGTGTCTCGTTTGCGGACACCTCATTGTACATCAACTCGCTGATACCGGGTTTCCTATCAACACCATCATCATCATCCTTAACCATGTTTGCTCGAGTTTCACCTGGCCGTCCAGCCGCGGCGGTGCTCCTCAGCCTGCCTTGTCACAATGCCAGCACGCGGCAAGGCATCGCCCCCGCCACCCCCGGCCCCGTGCGATGGCCCGTGGGAGATTCTGCCGGATCCGCCCGCACCGACTCCTCAGCCAGGTGTCGACGTGGTCTTTGAGCAGGCTCACCTCGAAGACATCCGCCGTACACCAGGGATGGGCGGCAAGACCGCCTGCCAGTGGCAGCGCGCGCTGCGCGCCGAGTGCATTGTCAACAACTTGTCGTTCAAAGACGTAACAAACGACCCGTCCTACGACTGGAAGCAACTGCTTCGGTCTGCCGCTCCGGGTTTCGCTGAGCGCATAATCGGGCAGGGCATCGCCCAGGTTCTCTTTCGCATCATCGAGACAGAGCGCGACCCTAACTACTCCAACACGGATGGCCACGGCAGGCACTTCTTCGAGTTCCGTCGTGCAGACGGTTCAGCCATGCGCCTGCATTACCATAAGAACGGCCGACCCGATGAGCCCACCTATGTCGGTCCACCACGCGCCGTTGCTCAGCCTGCCGTGCCTGAGCCTGGCGCTGCTCAGCCTCATGTTCCTCGTGGCGGCGCTGCTCAGACTGCCGTGCCTGACGGTGGCGCTGCTCAGCCTGCCGAGACTGGCGGTGATGCCCCACTGCTCTTCACACAGGAGCACCTGCAAGAGGCAGCCTGCTCGCGCCAGATTGTGGGCCGCGACGAAGCCAGCGCCGCTCTCCAATCGCTGTTGCACTACCACCATGGCGAGACTGCCCCAGGTGCTGTTGACATCACCGATGGCTCAGCATTTGACTGGCTTCGATGGGTGGCACATATCGAAGGTGCGCGCGACGTCATCCGCAATGGCGTCCACAGGGTCTACGCTGTCCGCTGGAATCCGCACTGGGCTCCAGAGGCCGTCTTCTGCTACGGCAACAACACCTACAGCACACTGGTGCCCCGCAAATCGCGCTACACAGGCTCGTGGAGCCACGCGCGAATTGTGACTCACCAGAACGCCAATTGGGTGACCGAACCGTTGCTATCTGCGGCCCCTGTGGCAGCTACGCCGTGGCTGGTGTTGCGGGATCAAATAACCTGGGAGTGATCTCTGGCAAACGAGATGTGGTGCTTCTCAGCCTGCACTCATGTGACACGCAATGCCGTGCCCTGCAATCGCGTGGTGTTTCTCAGCCTGCACTCGCAGGTCCTTCGGAGGTCAATTGTTATGAGTTCGGCACGGTCTCGGTCAAGTACAGCGTGCTGTGGGGATCCCGAGATGGGGCCTGGCTCAAGGTGCTCAAGACGTACTGGAGTGTCCCAGAGCCGGAGTGCCAGCTGATCCTCGGGAGTTGGAACGGCATTTTCAGGCCGTGGCCGGACACGTTCTGGATCAGGACGGGGGGGTCCGAGCCCGAGATAGATGCTAGCGCTCTGCAGTACAAGTGCTTTTCAGCATGCGACATCCTGCGGTGCTTCTCAGCCTGCAGGGTTCGCAGCGTGCGGTTTGCAATGCATTCCTTTTCAGTATGCGAGTTCCTGCGGTGTTTCTCAGGTTGCAGGGCTCCGAGGCTCTTCCCTTCGATGCCAATGTTTTCAGACACCGTAGCTCCGTTCCGTAAACATCTTCCAAGAGCCGTTCGCAACTTTTTGCAGCTGGCGGTCTGCAGACGTAGTCTGTCTCAGCATGCGAGCTCCCGCACGCTTCGCCGGCTTTTGCTGCGCGGACAATTTTCTCACACACGTCAGCGCCGTTTGTAGGCGTCAGAAAAACATGTAGACATTCACGAAGGGCTCAGTCTGTATATCGTCACATCATTACATACGCAGTCGTCGAACACATCGGTGTACATTCAGCGCTTTGTCCTTCTAGCTGGGTCGCTTCGTGCTGAGGCTGAGGCTGATGCAGGCTGAGGCTGAGGCAGGCTGAGGCTGAGGCCGAGGCCGACGGCAGACTGAGGCTGAGGCTGAAGCAGGCTGAGGCTGAGGCAGAGGCAGGCTGAGGCTGAGGCTGAGGCAGGCTGATGCTGAGGCAGGCTGAGGCTGAGGCTGAGGCTGATGCAGGCTGAGGCTGAGGCAGGCTGAGGCTGAGGCCGAGGCCGAAGGCAGACTGATGCTGAGGCTAAAGCAGGCTGAGGCTGAGGCTGAGGCAGGCTGAGGCTGAGGCAGGCGGAGGCTGAGGCTGAGGCAGGCTGAGGCTGAGGCTGTGACTGCGACTGCCGTTGCCACTGCGACTGTCCTCGCGAATGCGACAACGACTGCGAGAACAGCAGAATTCTACAACTGGATTCTCATCCGAATCTTAAGGGGAATGCTTCCAGATATGCTCCTACACATGGCTGTTAGGTTGCTTTGCCGGGATAATTTTTTGTAGTCGAAGTGGGCCGAGGAGAGGTGGGCGGGCTGCCAGACTGGACCAAAATGGCCTGGAGGACGGCCAAGATCGCCCCCGGAGAGCATCTGGAGGCCTCCAAAATCGAGTCAGTGAGCTCCCGGAGAGGCCTCTGAGAGAGGCCGGCGGCGCCTTGAAGACGAACATTTCCAACGAGGTGTGTTCTGAAGCGAAAATGATGGCCAAAGAGCGCTCATTCCGCAGCTGTGGCCCCCGGGCCGGCGGAATGAGCAGGCCGCGGGGAGGACCCCAGGAGGGGTTGCAAGGGCTCTGAGGAATGGGTATTGGTACGAGGAGTTCGTGCGCGCGCAGACTGAGGGGACTGAGTTCGTGCAGACCATGCGGCGGGGATCTCACACGCCGTTCCCGGTGGGGCGGCGGATCGCTTCGCTCATTCCGCCGGCCCATATTGTGGCATCGCTGGCACTTGCTTGCGTGCTTGGGGGGGGCATTTGGGGGGCCTCCTGGGGCCGCTTGGGAGCCTCTTGGGGGCCTCCTGAGGGCCTCGCGGGGGCATCTTAGGGCCTCTTGGGGGCCTCTTGGGGCCTCTTAGGGGCCTCTTGGGGCCTCTTGGGAGCCTTTCGGGGGCCTCTTGGGCGCTCCTGGGGGCCTCTCGACCCTTTCTTGCCAGAAGAATCTAGGTCACCTCCAACTTCGCGCATCACGCACCCCGATGCGCGGCGCGCGATTATCTTCGCGCCCTCGCGCCCGCGCGCCGCACCCCCGATGCAAGATTACCTTCGCGCCCCCGCGGGGGCCCTAAGCGAGCACGGTTCGCGGCAGGGCACAGGGGCGCAGCACTGCCACATCAGCGCGCGAGGCTGCGGGATCGCCAGGGCAGGTGCCCCCGATCGCTCAGCACCGTCACGAGACTTCGTCCGCTGGGTTGGCAGCACCGGGGTGCGGCTCGAAGAGGAAGGGATCTGGTCAGGAAGTGCTGCTTAGCATGTCACGGCGGCGGCCGCGGCGACACGCTACGCCTTGCGAGGAGGAGGAGGAGGAGGAGGAGGAGGAGGAGGAGAAGGAGGAGGAGGAGGAGAGGGAGGGAGGAGGAGGAGGAGGAGGAGGAGGAGGAGGAGGAGGAGGAGGAGGAGGCCAGCCTGCCGCACCGAAGCATGGTGGGCCAGAACCGGCGGCGCGACACGCGTGGCAAGCGCTCCTGACCGGACCGAGGAAGGCAAGAATTCTGCCCACACGTGCCCGAGAATCACCCGTTTCCCAACCTAGGGGGCCACATGTGAACCCTACCCCTACCCCCCACGATTTTTGAGGGGAGGGTGGGGTTCACTTCGCTCGGGAGCTTCCGAACGAAGTGAACCCCACTCCACCCCTGGGAAATGGTGGGGGGTAGGGGTAGGGTTCACATATGGCCCCCTACAACCTCTCCAGCCCGATTGACCACTTCCAGGGCCGAGGGGCAGTCTCCAGATCTTGTCGAGCCGTACACGGGTGCATCTCTCAAGGCTCGCCCGGGGGGGGGCGGAGTGGGGGGGGGTGGGGGGCAAGTCTCTGTGTTCTTTGGGTCGCGCGAACCGCCTGTCAGCTCAGACGCGGCGGGCCAAGGCCTACGCTCGCCAACCCTGCTTTTCGGCCGCCAGTCACCCGCCGTCCTGGCCGCAGCGCCACTTCTCCACTTGGCCGCAGAGCGGCCCCAGGGCGCCGCGGCCAGCACCGGCGTCGGTCTCTCCGCACAGGTCGGTGAGCGCGGCCGTCAGCACCTGGGCGATGGCGGGGCGCTTCAGGCTGGCGGGTCGGCCCGCCAGCTGCAGCAGCGACCCTGCCAAGGGGCCCTTCAGCACCTGCATACGCCGAGGCTCCAGGCCAGCGAGCTGTGCCCTGCCCTTCCTCGCGAAGGTGGCCACAGCCGACAGTGCAAGCGCCTGCGCCTGCAGCCACGGCTCACTGGCCTCCGCGGCATCCACTGCCAGTGCGTGGCGCAGGGAACCCCCCTCGGACCAGAGTGCCTCCTCAGTCAGCGTCAGGATCGACGCCTCTGAGGTGGAGACTTGGATCAACACTCGGAGCTCACCTTCGGTGGAGCGCTGCCAAGCGCACCTGGGAGATAGCCTCGCTGCCCAAGAGGCCCCTGCGAGGACCCTCGCCGCCGCGTCGCACCCTTCTTGGAACTCCCGGTCCATGCCCGCCCGCTGGAGCACCCGCAGCGCGTCATCTGCCACGAGCAGCACGCGCCCCAGCAGCTCATCGTCCAGGTGGCACAGCAGCTCGTCGTCCAGGCGGGAGCCACCCTCGAGCGCCGCCCACACTCCCACGGCCAGGAGCGCGCTGCCGCCGTGCTCCGTGCACAGCTGCCGCAGGCACGCGGTCGACACCTCGAGCAGCGGCCGGTGGCCGGCCGGTGCCTGCCGGAGCAGGCCCGCGACGAGCAGCGGCACGAGCTGCTTCCCCAGCGCCCGGCGCCGCTCCCCCCCGCACACCAGGCACAGGTTCCCCGCGGCGCACAGCAGCTCGCGCAGGGCGCGGCGAGCCGCAGGCCGCTCCACGGCCCCGGTCAGCAGCCGCCCAGTGGCGAGGGCCAGGGCCCCCGGGGCCTCGTGCCAGGGCAGGCGGCCGCCCTGGCAGCACACGGAGGCGTGGCAGCTGAGGCAGCAGAGCATCCCGAAGCACGCCTCTGCCTCCTCGCTGTCGGCAATGTCCTCGCGCGTCACGTGGCCCCAGACCATGGGGAGGGCCTTTGGCGCCAGCTGCTGGGTGTGCGCCTGGACCAGGTCGACCAGCAGACGCATGCCCGTGACGAGGTCCTTCCCACGCAGGGCCGACACCACCGTCAGCAACGCGTCCGAGCTCTCAAGCCACTCTGGCCGGCCAGCCACCTCCTCACACTTCGCCAGGTGGAAGAGGGCCGTGACCAGCCGGCCGCGTGCGCAGCAGTCGAGCGGCCGCACCAGCGCGGCCGCCCCAGCCTGGCTCGGCTCCAGGCCCGCCGGAAGAGATGCAGCGTCCGCTCGGGCGAGGTCGAGCAGGAGGCCCAGCGCGACGTCCGCCAGACGCACTCGGAGCGTCCCTCGGCGGGCCACGGCGATGTTCCAGGCTGTCCCCAGGGCGCACGCCCTCGCGTCCGACGCCAGGTCTGGTGGCCCCCCCTGCAGCAGGACGGTGGAGAGGACCTGCCGAAGCGCAGACCACTCCACGAGCAGCTCGCACACCGCACAGCTCCTCGACATCTGCAGCAGCAGGTGCTGCGCGGCGCAAGCGAGACGCCAGCGGCCCTGGCACCCGTCAGCACGGACCCCGAAGAGCTCCAGAGGAACTGCTTGATCGAGGAGGGCCCGGCTGACCACCTCGTAGAACGCCTCCGAGCAGCTGTCCTGCACGGAGCAGGCCATCCGAAGGACGCCAAGAACCTGTAACTGCTTTTCCCTGCTGGCCTGCAAGCAGAGCAGGATCCGCGGCAGCGCCGAGTCCAGTGCTTCCGCTCCTCCCGTGGCCCCGAGCACCGCCCCGCGGAACAGCACGGCGTTCGGGCTGGCCTGGGCCAAGTAGAACGCGGCGGTGGCCGCCCGGCCAGCCACCACGGGGTCCTCGGAGCAGAGGAGCCGCGCGATCCGCGACATCATGGCCGCGCCCAGCGCCTCGCGGCGCCCCTGCGAGCTGGGCATGCCCAGGTTCCAGGCGATGCCGAGCAGGTCCGCCCGCACGGACGCCCCCAACTCGCCCGCGCGGTCGAGCAGGCCCGCCAGGGTTTCTGGGAAGCCCGGGCGCCCCCAGAGCCACTCCTGTAGGGAACCGAACTCTACACACCGACGTTTTTCCAGCCCTGCACTGAAATTTGCACAGGAAAGCGGATCCTGGTGTATACGAGATCCCGGTGTATACATGTTTCGCCGCTTCCCCGGGAAAGGAAACAACGAGTACACGCCACACCACCCCGACGTCGCCCCCGACCATCGAGAAGCCCTTAGATGGAAAAGCAGCCCGCCCGCCACTGGCAATGTAGATTCGGGAGCGGCAAAGAGGGGGGTGTCCAAGAGGGGGGGTGCAAATCATGACCGGCGGCATGTGCGCGGCCCAGCGGGGGGGCCAGGGACGTAATGAAATAATAAGATGCGCCATGAAACCTGGGGAAATATCATGGCCCACGCCATGATATCCACCCCCCCTAGTCATCACCCCCCTCTTTTCCGCCCCCGATAGATGTTCCAGCTTCCGATCCTGGGCGTCGGCGCGCGGGCTCAGGGCGAGCAGCAGGCCGAAGACCGGGCCGTGCATGCCCGCGGGCCACTTGGCGGCGCCCGCCTCGGAGGCCAGCGTCCAGAGCAGCGGCACCAGCGGCCGCGCCACCGCGCTGCCGTGCCTGCCCACCAGGTTCTCGAGCAGGTTCAGCAGGCGCCACTGCGCCTCTAGGGGGCCACAAGCGAACCCTACCCCTACCCCCCACGATTTCTGAGGGGGAGGGTGGGGTTCACTTCGTTCGGGAGCTCCCGAGCGAAGTGAACCCCACCCTCCCCCTCAAAAATCGTGGGGGATAGGGGTAGGGTTCGCTTGTGGCCCCCTAGCCTCGCCCTCCAGCTGCCCCACGTGGTAGCAGAGCGCCTCTGCTGCCGCCTGCCACTGGCCGTCCTCCAGCACGGCGGCGTCCTGCGAGAGGTACCACAGCGCGGTGACCTCAGCCGGGTGCTCCGAGAAGCCGAGCCCAGCAGCGGCTGGGCCCTCGGGCTTGAGACTGCTGGAAGCCACGGCCAAGAGTAGCCTTGGGTAAGGAGCAACGTCAAACTTTCTCTGTGAGATTTCTGATAAGACTCCGAAGCATAACCTTAGCAAGTTCGAGACCGCTCCGAACTGGGAGCGTCCCTCATCTGGGCACCTCGACAACACCTGGCCAGGCAAGCACACATCGGCATGGTGAAGCGCGCGGGGTAGCCAACGAGGGTCGGGACCGGGAGGGGTCGGGGTTTGGTCTGGTCGTCGGGTGAGGGGTCGCTGGATGAAGAGCCCGCAGTATCGCAGCCAGGAGATGGCCAGCGGTGGACAAGTTGTGGACCCTCCATTTATCCTAGCTCGTTGATTGTGACTGGCCCTCCTTCCAGGGCACCAGGCTCTGAGAGTTTTACTCGACTGCTATATTGCTAGTATCTGACTTTCTCTCGAGATGGCCCAACGACGTCCCAAGATGGACTCCAGGATGACCCAAGTTGGCCCAAGATGGCTTCAGGCTCAAATGGCTCCAAGGCAAAAAGGCCGCCGAGAGCATGCAATTACGTCAACGGCTTAGGTTTGCACGTGTTCCACGCTTCCGATGCACCTAGCGAGCCTCAGGATCGCCCCACGAGGGCCCAGGAGGCCCTCAGGAGGGGCCCAAGAGAGTCCCAAGAGAGCCCCAGATGCCCACAGGAGCACCCCAAGAGAGACACTCCCCGAGGCCGCTAACTGCCACACTCTCCCGACAAGACCTCGGAAGGCCGTGGAGGTCCCCAGGAGGATGACAGCAGCTTAACAATCATGTGAGACTGGAAAGCGACCCCAATCGGAATCTGTTTTGGGGTTATGGGGCTATGGGGCTATAGGGCTCTGGGGTTATGGGCTATAGAGCTATAGGACAATAGGACAATAGGGCTATAGGGCTATAGGGCTATAGGGCTTTAGGGCTATAGGGTTATAGGGCTATGGAACGATAGGGCTCTAGGGCTATGGGCTCTAGGGTTATAGGGCTACAGGGCTATAGGGCTATAGGGCTGTAAGGCTATGGGGCTATAGGGCTATAGGGCTATAGGGTTATAGGGTCATAGAGCTATAGGGCTATAAGGCTATAGTGTCATAGGGCTATAGGGCCATAGGGCCATAGGGCCATAGGGCTATGGGGCTATAAGGCTATAGGGCTTTGGGGCTATAGGACTGTAGGGCACCCAGGCACCCAAACACCTGGGCATCTGGGCACCTGGGCATCCAGGCACCCGGGCATGCCGCCGGAATCGGCAACGTACCCAACCTAGCCATATGAATCCGCTAGGACCCCTACAGAGGCAAGCTCTGATTGGGGAATAAAATGATACCGGAGAAAAAACACTCATAATCTTGTAAGAGCTATAGGGCGATTGGGCTATAGGGCTATAAGGCTATCAGGCTATGAGACTATAGGGCTATAGGGCTATAGGGCTGTAGGGCCATAGGGCTAAAGAGCTAAGGGCTATAGGGATATAGGTCTATAGGGCGATAGGGCTATAGGGCTATAGGGCTATAGGGCTATAGGGCTATAGGGCTATAAAGCTATAGGTTATAGGGTTATAGGGCTATAAAGCTATAGGGTTATAGGGCTGTAGGGCTGTAGGGCTATAGGGCTATAGGGCTATGGGGCTATAGGGCTATAGGACTATAGGGCTATAGGGCTATAGGGCTATAGGGCTATAGGGCTATAAGGCTATTAGGGCATAGGGCTATAGGGCTATAGGGCTATAGGGATATAGGGCTATAGGGCTATAAGGCTATAGGGATATAAGGCTATGGGGCTATGGTGGGGCTACCGGGCACCCAGGCACCCGGGCATCTGGGCACCTGGGCGTGCCGGCGAAATCGGCGCCGTACCTCACCTAAGTATATAAATCCGCTAGGACCCCCACAGAGGCAATCTCTGATCGGGGAATACATTGATACCAGAGAGAGACCCAATCAGAATCGTTTCAGGGTTATAGGGCTATGGGGCTAATATGGCTATAAGGCTATAAGGCTATGGGGCTATCGGGCTATCGAGCTATAGAGCTATAGGGCTATAGGGCCATAAAGATATAGGGCTATAGGGCTATAGGGCTACCGGGCACCCGGGCACCCGGGCACCTGGGCACCGCCGGGCACCAGGGCACCCGGGCACCCCTGGTCACCCGGGCACCAGGGCCTGGCCACCGAAATCGGCGACGTAGGTCACCTACACGTATGAATCCGCTTGGACCCCTATGGAGGCAAGCTCTGATTGGGGAACGTCGTCTTGAGTAGTCCCACAGTGGCTTCCACAATGGCTGGGGGGAGCACACTACGCAGTAGCGTTGCCAAAACCTGGCTCAACTTGGCCACACTGGCATTTCCAAAAAAGGAAGGGCGAGGCTGAGGCGGTGGCCAGCCGCTCGCGCGTCACGGCGTCGAGCGCCCCGCGCTCGCCAGCAGTCTCCAGCAGCCCCGGCAGCACACGTTCCGCCAGCGGGCGGCAGTGCTCCTCGACGGCGCTGTGCGAGGAGGAGGGAGCCGGGCGGCCGGGAAGAGAGGAGCACGACCCTGGGGTTAAGTCGGGCCTGCCCCTCTGCAGGAGGAATATTCAGAAGTAGTAAAAAAAGAGTCCGGGGACGATTTTTGACCATTTGGGAATATTTTTGGAGTATGTTTCATTTGTCGTCCAAAATCCGCCTGCAGGGGGACATGCCCGACCTAACCCTGGGAGGAGGGGGGGACCGTCGGACGGGCGAGGGTGCGAGCGACCAGCGGCAGAAGCGGACCTCTCCCGGGGTGCGTTCTGGCCAGAGCCTCGGGGAGGCTCTCCGGCCATGGCGACGAGGGGTCTCCAGGACGGGCAGCGGTGCGGGTACCCCTTCCTCCCCCGAAGAGGGGGGGGGGGCTCCTTGCTCATCGCGAGGTTCCAGACGACTCCGACAGCCGCGGCACGCGAGCTGCGGAAGGCGGCGGCGGCCGCAGTGGCCTCGCCCGCGTCCGCGGGCTCCCCGCGCAAGACGGCGCCGAGGCGGCCCTCTCGCGCCAGGAGCGCGTACCAGGCCTCGGGATTGCGCCCACGGGTCAGCCTTCTTGCGGGGAGCGGACCAGAGCGGCAGCGCGCTTCTGGCGGGGGCAAGCGAGAGGGGGGGCAGGCCTGCTCAGAAGGCGGCGGGGCTTCGGCTTCTCAGAAGCCCTCTGGCCTTCTGAGAAGCAGCCCCTGACTACCTACCAAACCACC